CGTCGGGTATTTATAGTTAAATATACGCGATAAAATCCGTAAAAACTAGTATTATTTCAATGAGTAGTGTTCGCGTAAATATAAGAAATCACTAAATTGAAATCTATTCAGTAGTTTTCCTTGATGCGCTAACAACTGCAAACGTCTATTATTTTATTTACATAGATTATCCCAAATTGAATATGATTTATGGGTAACAGCGATCCCCTCGACCCTTACAAATGTGTGCCTGTGCCGTAAAATTAGTTAAAATAAAACATTACCACTCATTTTAAAGATAAAAAAAATTAAAAGATAAAAAGGACAGAATTTTTCTTGGCCGTAACTTGGCTCTACCACGTATATAATGGAGTCCCAGATCTAGACAATAGTGTAATATTGGATTATTGTAGTTCTCATTAGTAGTCCGAAGTCAGCATGATTTACTCCGTGACTCGGAAAGCACGTAAAACTATACCTATGAAAGTGTGAAAAGAATGAAAAAAAAAAGAGAGTGCACTTGTACTAGGTATTATAATCCTGTCCTGTGCAGATGGTTAATCTCTGTTGAGACAAGCCACCGTGATCGAAATTCGGTCTAAACGACATTTTTTTTAGATTGATAATATAATCCTCCATCCATTGCCAAGCGTGTTCAGAATTTCAGGAGTAAAAAACGATTCCAAGGAGACACTCGTACAAGGAAAGTAACAGTATAATAAGTTACCTGTACTGTATCGGGCACAGGCTTCTCCTCATTATCAATAGGGATTTAGGGTAAAAATCCTTACCGCTGCCAAAAGACGTTTTAGTAGACTTCACATCACGTCCACTTTGTTTATTACTTAGATATTTTAGGTTTTCGAACAGGGTTTTCCTTCAATGCTAAATACGTAATAAGTCAGCACTTAAAATTTTAACTCACAATTTCAGTGTAAGTGGGTCAGTTCACTTACCTTACTCGCCTGCTTTAGCTAGTCTACTGTACTCGGCAACGGCAGCTCGCGCGTTCCCATTACAGAAACCACACACAAAGTGCATGTCAGTAACATGCGATGGTTCCAAATCACAGAGTTTAGGCACTTTGAAGTCAAAACCACAAATTAACACGAGTCCTTAAAAACTTTCAAGAACACGAAATACGTATCCTCACACAACACAATGAATGGGCGACTAAACTAATTACTAATCTAAGTTTAGGCGTATGAGTGGGGTGCGCGATGCACATTAAAACGAGTCATTAAGGGATTTGCGCAGGTAACAAAAATTACCTTCTCTATCCCTTATTTTTGACCAAATTAGTCAAACAACATTTTTGAGATTTTGTAGGTAATATCATGTAATTTAATAATAATTAAAAGTATTCATTGAGCATTTACTCAACTTTTTAGCGAAATTAAATAAAAACGGGTAAATTTTCTTAAAACTGTGAGGTAATTATTTTTTTTAATGCCTTGATTAATTTTGGGTACATTTTGTACCTCGAATGGATAAAGTATGATAACAACTGGTAAAGAATAAAAAACAAAATGAAAAACAAATGTAAAAACAAAAAAAACATATCTTGAAAATAGTGCAGCAAGTCAGGTTTCTATGAAAAAAATAAAAAACCTAATTTGGTAAAATTTGCGCATATTCCCTAAACTATAATACCGAACCACTACCAAGTAGAGAGAAACGCTAAAATATCGTCGTTAAGTAATAAGATTACATACAATAAGAAGAATTAGAAATACGAGATAATCAGGGTTTCCGATACTTTTTTTGCCGCCAGGCGGTGCTTCGTATGCGTCAGGTCCAAACAGCTGTCAGATAGCACAGATTCCTACCGAACGTATTATTTTTTTTAGTGAAATTTTATGTATTTGGAAGAGTTATTGATTTTATTATGGATTACGGCCAAAGAAAGGTTGCCGAACTGAAAATTGAGCTCAAAAAGAGAGGCGCAAAAGTCACTGGTACTAAAGAAAAGCTCATTGAAAGGTAAACATAATCTACTTCTATTTGTTTCCACAATTTGATTGTTTTTTTTTTAACTACTAAATTGAAGTTATTTGTGTTTTAGTGAGTTGTTGTTGATTAATGTATATTATATATTCCAGGCTAAATGACTATGACAGAAACAACAACTTCAAATCAAATGAAAATGATAATTCTCATCTCTTAAGTGAGATTAATTATGTAATAGAATGGCCAGAAGAAAAGTTATACAAAAGTGTAGATTCAAAAACAGTTTTACCCAATTTTGACATTATTAACATAAATACGTATTTCCTTGAATTGTATAAAGACGGCATAGGAATGTCAGATTATTCTGCAGTGCACAGAAGAGGTTATAATATGCTGCAAAATAACTACCTACTCGCATTAGTGACCGCAAATACTAGTACACATATATTTTTCAAAGGTCAAGTCCATTCTGAAAATACAAAAGCCCTCACTTATTTTGCTTCCATTGCCATATGTAATGGAAGTGGATCTATTATACAATCGGTGTGTGAATGTGTAGCAGGGAAAGGACCAAAAGCCATTTGCAAGCATGTGTCAGTTTTGTGCTATGCTATACTCAAATTCCGAGAGCAGAATATATGGTTAATTAAAATGACTCCAACACAAAAAAAACAAGTATGGCATGTACCTAAAAAAAATAAACTTGATGTTTCGCCGAAAAAAAGCAGAGAACCTTTCATATGAAATAGCAGAATATAATGTTTGCAAAAAAAGAAAAGAAGTGTGTGCTATGATCCAAGACCACAGTCCTTTATCAGTCAGGGAAAAGAATGGGCTACAACAGTTAGAAATAAAGTCATTAACTACTGCTCATTGTCACAAAAAAGAATAGGATTATGTGGAATTTTGGACAGTGCAAACATGCAAGATGTGATACATGACCATGATTACCTACCTTTTCCTTTAAATCATCAACTTATTCTTAATAAAATATCTGTAAGCCATTTATTCCAGATGAATTTATTTATTATAGTAGCTACGACTTGTACAATCTTATTGACTGTACTGTAGCAAGCGAGGTGGTGAATCATGAGAAGTTGTAGCTACTATATTTTTTTATTATTTAGTATATTATGTAATCATCAATATTAATTGCACTTGCATAGGGATTGTAGATGTTTGTTTAGGTTTATACTTTCATACTTTCCTTATCCTTTGCCCCTAACAGGTTACACCTGACTCAGCAAAGGAAATTGAAAAGAAAACTAAAAATCAGACGAAGACAAAGTTATGGCATACAGAACGATCTTTTCGAGTGACTGCTTCAAGAGTCGGTGAGATTTGTAAATTTACTGCTAAAAAGGACCAAGAAAAGTATGCACAAAGCCTTATATGTAATAAGAAAATAGTAAGCACGGCCTTAGAATGGGGCAAGTCTATGGAAACCACAGCAATTGAAGCATATGAGGGGAAAACTGGAAAAAAAGTAGAACGCTGTGGTTTATATGTTTCTGTGCAGTACCCTTTCATTGGCGCTTCTCCTGATGGATTAATTGGAGATAACAAAATTTTAGAAGTTAAATGTCCATATTCATATAAAGGATGAAATGATTGGATCCAACAATTATTTCCATTTAGAGCATGATTTGCAACTGAAAGAAACAAGCAACTATTATTAGCAAATCCAAACGCAGTTACTTGTCACAGGAAGAGATTGTTGTGATTTATTTATATGGACTAATGTTGATGAAAAAATAATAAATGTTAAAAAAAATGATTCATTTATACAAAATATTATAATCCCTCGAGTAAAAGCTTTCTTTTTTCAATTTATGTTGCCAAAGATAGCAAAAAATATGTATGATTGTTAATATATTTTTATAGTATATTGTAAGATTCTATGTGATAGAAATTAGAACAAAGTTTAATTTTGTATTCTTGTTATTATTTAATAAAGTATGTTTAATACAGTACTGTTAAAAGCGACATCAATTAAATAAAATTGAAAAAAACATATTTTACTTTATAATATTATTTTTGAAATTGGTTAACATAAAACATACAAATATTATTCTATCTGCTAAAGGCACCAATTTTGAATCCAACTTGCCGCTTAAGATCTTAAAAGTTTTAGCCAAACCAATGACCCTTTCAACGTGTATCCGTTCTGAAGATATATTTTTTGACCTTGTCAGTTGAGAAGTCTCAAATTGTCCATCAGTATTTTTTAAAAATTCTGGCACATTAACTGTAACATCTTTATGGCACACTAGGTCTTGTACATTAAAGCCACGGTCACTAAAAATGATATCATTAGGTTCAAGTTTATCAATAAGTCCACATTTTTTCAAACAATTCACGATCACTCGTAGATCCACCATATGCATCGGATACAAATGTAACGCAGCCTGATGCTGAAATCCCAATTAAAACTTTTAGAGTATTTGCTGATTTGTAAGTGGAATATGTAAGCTGTTGTGTAAGTGGATTTTTGGGCTTCTCTATTTTTATTTCCGTGCAATCTACTATCACAGTGCATGGATTAATCTTGCCATAGTATTTCATATTTTTATCTATGCATTGTTTTGGCACCCAAACATTTAACTCTTTCAATTTACAATATAAGTAATTGATCCATGTTATGAAAATGTTACTTAGTACCGTTTTATTAATCTTCGATCGAAAGGCGAGTTCTGTAAATAGCATGTTCCGGCGTAATTTAATTAACACTAGAAGGAATTGATCACAAGGGTTTAGAAACGGCACCTTCAATGTTTTCAGTTGAGGATAATATTTTAAACAATTTACTTCATCTCCAAAAATACTAAATATGAATTTGATATGTTCATAATCTTGGAAACCAGTATAAAACTGTACTTCGGCCGCATTGGTTATATCTAGCACATTTGCAATTGAAGATTTTTTATTTTTATTTTCATTTTGAAGACATTTTTTAAGTGTTTTGAGATTATCACTTCCACATAAATCACATTGGATACCAACATCATTCTGTTTCTTCTCGAATTCAATTTCTACTTCGAAAAAAGTTTGTAGTTTCCATGAGGAAGGTGTCATCCTTCTCTTTTTTCATTGTTTATGTGTACTTGGACACTAATTTTCCTTTCATTTCGCGCCAAACGCCTTTGATGCCGCTCCTTCTTTTTTTGATGCAAACTAGAATTTTGGTCAATCCATGGGAATCGACTTGGCACTGCACATTTTTTCAACACAGGCCTGGCTGGAATAATAATTCAATAAATATAATGTCATAATGAAATCATTTTTGATAAGGCAAGTACTAAAAAACGTTTACACTACATCATTGAAGGTTAGTCGCGCACAGATATAATCAAGGTGACTTAACTGAAGCTTATCATTATAAATAAGTACAAAATATTCTTACGTTTTTCTAATACTGAGTCCTTCGGTAGCTGGTAATCATCCTTTGTGAAGTGGCTTTTGCAAACGAGGGTATTTTTCGTTGGAGTAAATTTATCTCTGCGAATGGCTACAAGCCACTGTTTTAATCGGTTTTTATCTTCTGTAGGGAACTTATGCCCTCCTTTTTTATTTGCACACATAGGCACTGCACAACACTGTGGCATTTTGGAAAACAATATTCTGTTTGTAACGTTTTTAAGGATAAATAAACCAAAAAAATGATCGAAAAATATAAATCGTGTAAGTGTTTTGACAGGTAGTTGGACCTGACACTACAGCGCTGCCATCTCACGGGGAACATTTCAGAAAACCCTCATTACGCCGTCTTTATTCTGAGTTTGTGACTCATCATCATCATCATCTTTACTATCATCACAACCCTTCACAAATCCACAGCTGAAAGTGCGTCTCCCCGATAAACGCCACAGAGCACGGCCCACCTGTATCCATCAACTTACATTAAGATATTATATATAATTACTTAATATTTATCTATCTATATGTATATATATATATATATATATATATATATATATGTTTTAAACATAGAATTACATCCGCACATAGTATAGAAACACACACACACACACACACACACACACACATTTACACACACACACACACACACACACACACACACACACACACACATCCTATTCAATCACACAAGAGAAAAATTGTATGCATGCCTTATTTAAATAATTAGTATGTAGTCTCTCAGTTCATTAAAAATAGTAGTCTAAATATATGTTGTAAAAGTGTTTTTGGAAGAGCGGAGTTTCCTAGAACAAGCAATTTATTTAGCTTAAAAGGAATCTCCAAACATAGAAAACTTGTATATTTAGACTTAAGTTAATGAAATAAACATTTTTGATTTTTTTTGATATATATATATGTATGTATATATATATATATATATATATATATATATATATATATATATATATATATATATATATATATATATATATATATATTAAGAAATTACGTACATTAAGATATGTCCAGGTCTTCACTTAATCTAGTGGAGGGCCGCTCTACCCTTCGCTTACTGATACAAGGCTGCCATTCGGTAATCTTTCTTCCTCATTGTTTGTCGGTTCTTCGAACTTGAAGACCTTGTGAATGGTTCCAAAAATAGGTCCAGAGCAATTTTGATTTTTGCACATACGTGGAAAAGCCATGCTGCAGCTATATTATGGCTGTAGTACGAATGGAATGGCTCGACAGGGGAAGGACCACGCTCTCACAGAATACGATTATGAAATATTAACCATACTGTGTTTCGTATAGTGAGTATAGAGTACTGGAGACCTTTTTAATAAGAGACGAGGTATTCCATTTTTGATCGACATCAAAAAAGAGGAGGTACACAATTCGACTCTATGTTTTCTTTATGTGTGTAACCTTAAACTTTTTTCTAGGTGAGCCGATGACCATTGAATAAAACTAAATTTACGGATTTTATCGCGTTTAATTAACTACTTTTACTTATTTTTATCCCCTCAGTCCTCCGTCACCATGGGTGTCGTAAAGCACCCGAAACGTAGGGAATTAAAAATAAGTAAAAGTAGTTAATTAAACGCGATAAAATCCGTAAATTTAGTTTTATTCAATGTGTAGTGTTCGCGTAAATTTAAGAAATCATTAAGTTCTGACCAGTAGTTTTTAAGTTATATTTAATAATACGTATTTAAGACTTCAAATACATTGATGATAGTTCTCATTTAATTTATATTGATGTCGGTTGTAAATTTTTTTTAATTTTATTACATGTAGTCCTCAGGGATAACAACGCATTTTGATCCTTAATCGAGGATAGGTCTCATCTTCCATTTACCATCAGTTTGTCAGTGTCTGTGTGTTCATTTTTCACCGTTATTCGATGAAAAATTGCGATTTACATTTTTGCTACATTATTTATTATTTCTTCATAAATAATTAAGAAAAGTGACGGTAGACTGTCCCGTCATAGACTTACGTTATCCAAGGAACTAAGTATAGCTATTCAACGAGGAAACGCGGCTAGAGTTCTTGACACTATACCGTGAGAAGTAGGAATTATTTCCTCCAGATCAAATTTCGGCCATGGCGGCCTGCCTCAACGGAGGCTAGCCATGGACGCAGGACAAGATTATAGTGTCCAAGTGTATGCGCAAGCACAGGTGCACTCTCTATTCCTTCACTCTCATAATCCGATGGGACGGTAAACCGACACGTAAGAGAGATCAGGCGCAGGACCAACGGCTTTACGTGCTTTCCGAGGCACGGCAGTGAGACATCGCCAATTTTCTGACTCCGGGCAGTTACTGAGAATTTCTTGACGGAAAACTCAATAATTGATTTTTGTCCCGACCCGGGATTTGAACCCAGGACCTCATGATCAGCAGTCGCACCACTTCAACCACTAGACCAACGAGGCAGTCAGAGGGGAGTAGGACATGATAATTGTATAAATATAGTAAGTTGAATAAAACTATTATTTACGGATTTTATCGCGTTTAATTACTTTAATTTATTTTTATTATTATCCCGACATTTCGGGTGCTTTACATCACCCATGGTCACGGGGGGGACGAAATGGGATGGATGGATGGAGGACGAAATGTCGGGATAATAATAAAAATAAATTAAAGTAATTAAACGCGATAAAATATAAATAATAGTTTTATTCAATGTGTAGTGTTCGCGTAAATTTAAGAAATCATTAATATAGTAGTTGTTATGTTTTGTAAATAAATATGTAGGCGAATAAGGATCATCTTCAGATGCACTCATGATGGATGGCGCAAATGCTGTGCAATATAAAAACAAGAAAATACAATAAGCAGATCGTTAGCAAATCATCGCAAATATATGGTAGGCGTCCCGATGAGGTTCTTGTCAAAATATCCTTGCAATCACGGTTGCTACGTTAACAACGATACGACGCTTCGCTGGAGTATAACCTTTTTATTCTCGATCTAACCAGTATTTCATAGACGTGCCGATAAAAACTTTAAAAACAAAAAATTTTAAAACGTCTAGGTATAGTATAGTATAGTAAGTTTATAATATCTTTTTTTATCAGTAATTTTTTCCAGGTCTTTGCTACGCTGAATTCGCGGCGCGTGTGCCAAAAGCGGGCTCTGCTTACGTCTACAGTTACGTCAGTGTGGGAGAGTTCATCGCCTTCACCATCGGGTGGAACCTCATCCTGGAGTATGTGATAGGCACTGCCAGTGTTGCCAAGGGCATGGCGAACTACATAGACAGTCTATGCAACAACACCATGGCCCGTACTATGACCGCTGTTGCCCCGATCCATGTATCGTTTCTCGCTGATTATCCGGATTTATTCGCATTTACTCTAGTGTTGTTAATAACTGGTAAGTAAACGTTGTGCAAAATTATATATTTTTGTAAAAATATCTCCAATTATTATATGCCATTTAGAGACGGCGTACTAAAATCCACTAACCTATATCAGGAGGCAGGTAGCTAAGTTACCAACCTGCCTGGCAAGCGTGGTAACTATGGCAAATACTCAATTGGCCAATGTATTGGGGAGGCCAATGTTCAGCATTGGCTTTTTAATACGCTGTAGTGATGGTGATGAAAAATATCTCTTTTACCGTTTTTTGTAATAACCAAAGGTAAAAATAATTTACAATATTTCAACCTCCCTTTGCCAAAACAAAGACCTACATAAACTTTTAGGAAAGTCTTTGAAAGTTATTTATATATAGTGATACTTACCACGGTTTTTATAGATGACATAATGTCAATTAAATAACGTGGTAGAGCCATGCTGCAGTTATGTTAGAAGTATAGCAATATGGTAGTTGTAACACGAATGGGTCGACACGACCGGAGAAGGACCACGCTCTCACAGAATACCAGCATAAAATAGTAGCTTAATGCTGCTGTGTATGATAATTGTGGAGAACCGGAAACTCTTTTCACTGGAAACGAGGCATTCCATCATAGTCTTCACGGGTGACAAGGCATCTGCATTTTGATTCATAATCGAGGATAGATGTAGATGTCCATGGGTCACAGCAACCACTTACCATCAGGTGGACTGTGTGCTCGTTGGTCACCCTGTCCTATAAAAATATACAGTCGACTGTATGGAATGTGGCTACTGCAGTCCGTGAATACTTGCAGCTAACTTCAAACAGAGTAGACTACAATTGTCACCTCTGAGGACTAAGCTGGAATACCTCACAGTCTGTGATTCTTCTGGCTCTGACCGGGAATGTTCAGACCGGAACACAGCAGTGCAAGTCTACTATTTAGAGCTAGAAGTATGTAAGAGGGTGATACCCACACAGATCCTCCTAGGTAGAGTAGGAGTTCGACTCGTATTACCTAATAAATCATTTTGTGCATTATGCAACCTTTGTATACCTGTTGTAAATGTTTGTATAATATTACAAATATGGACTAAGAGGAGGCTTCAACGAAAAAAGTTAGTTACAGCCTATATAAATATACGTCCCACTCCTGGGCACAGGCCTCCGCTGATTTCTGAGAGGGTTATAGGGCAAGGAATTGTCCACCGCGCTGCCCCTATGCGTGTTAATGTTAGCGAACTTCACTAGTCTTTAAAATATTTTTTTCTTATTTCTCAGACATTCAGGTTTCCTCACGATGTTTTCCCTCACCGCCGAGCACGTGATAAATCAGCACTTAAAATTGCAATTAATAATTTCATTGGTGCCGGCGGAGATCGAACCCGGCTTGCTCGCGTACTGTGAAATTTGCAGCGAGCGCTAACCATCTGAGGTACCACAGCTCCACGAACATTTTCGCATATTGTTTATAATGAATTATTTTTTAACATCTTTTTTATATAAATATCAATTGTCGCATGTATACAAGATCATCAATTGTGAACGGCTAAACCGATTTCGATGAAATTTCTTGTGTGTATTTGAGTGGGTCCGTGGATGGTTTAGATTTACAATCGGATCCGGTAGGTAGCGCTATTGGCGAGATCCAGAAACCACCGTGCGAAGTCGGGGCGAATTGCTAGTAGTTGATAATAACCCCTGAGGTAGAGGTCGTCGCTCCCAAGATGTTTCTTAAATAAGTTTTATAACTAGTTTCTTCAGTTCTTTTGTATAATTTATTTTTTGAAAAAGAGCCTCTGGGTTTCTTGCTAGTTCTTCCCAGGATA